CCAGACTCCACACGGTGGCGTCCGCACCGGCACGGCCACCCATGTTTCCTTGGGTTTCCTGGAATTTTACCAAAAGGGAGGAAAATGCTTGTGCACACGTAGCTGTTTAACCATTTCTTGAACGGACTTGCTCCCTGGAGCCACAGGCTTCCTGAGCAGGACTGGTGTTGAAGTGAGTGGTAGTAAAATAACGAATAGAATAATCCTTATGAGGAATAGTATTAGAGCTACTAGTTATCAGAAATAATGATTATTTCTAATAGTTATTAGAAGTATTAGACATGGAGCAAAATGGTTCCCACGGTGTCTGGGCAGTCCATCCCTTCCTGGGATGATTCAGCAGCAGGACGTCACCTGTGTTGTCCCCAGAGGGAGGGGATCTGGGCAGGCTGACCCAGCTAAATCACCCTGCAAGCTTCCTCATGCCTGGTTAGAGGCTGTAAATCAGGAAGAAAAACTGTGTATTGAAGTGACACCGGGAGGAGCACGGATTTGGACAGGAGTCCTTGTATGGGGTTTTAGGGATAAGGATGTTTGCTTTGCCCCTGCCCCTGCCTCTGGGTGAATGTTAGTGTGCTCATTGCTTTGCCTGCACATGCAGGTGAGGACCAGGTGAGATGCCCACAAGTTTCAGGTGATATCTGTGGCTGGTTTGGCATGATCCAAACTGGACAGCTGCCAGTAAGACAGCTATGCACCATCTAAAGGGAAATGGCTTAGGTTGTTCCCATGGGGAGCAGGCTGACAGGCTTTCTCAGCACCTCCCTGAGCAAACAGGACCTCTTGGTGCTCTTTCGCTTGTCTTCAGGCCAAGTTATCTTGGGGATAGCCGCACATCTCACGTATGTGGATCATCCTGTGCTCATTGTGCTTATACCAGCTGTGTCATGGGCTCAAGGGGCCATCACATGGCAAAGTACCCGCCACCCTGCACAGCTGCCTTTTTGAGGCGGGTATTGTGCGAACAGCGAGCAAAGGGAAATAATTTGGAAAGTGCAACAAATTAGGAAAATTATTTGTTTTTTCTGCTTTACTCCCCAAAAAACCCAGACCAGAAATGGTTCAAAAGATTCCTCCCAAGAGATGGCTTGATCCATCCAGGAGGGAAATGAAGGCACGGCATAGCTACAGGGTATCAGATCAGAGCCAGGACATCTCCCAGCCAAGCTAGTGTCCTCACCTCTTCACCTTAGCACAAGTTCAGATGAGAAAGGACAGCAAGAGACTGTCATACCCCAGAGACTCAGATTCATCACCCCAGGCAGGAGCAGGCAGGAAATATTGAAGGCAAAACTACTGATGTGAGCCAGGATTTGGCTCCAGGACTCATTCCCCATGGGTGAGAGGGCACCAGCATCTTTCAACAATTTTCCTTGCTCTTTATGGCTCTTGGGAAATTGCTGCCTGCTGGGTCTTCTGGTTTTCAGGTGACTGCTCCTGGCGCTGGAAGTAGACCTTGATTTTCTTCAGGCTTCGGACTTTCTTTTTGGAGCGGTGCTGGTGGGCGTTGATGAGACGGCACACTTCCTGGAGCCCTTTCTCAGGGTTGTGCTGGTAGCAGGACCAGAGCTCAGAGAGGCCAATGTTGTGCAGAGCCAGTGTTTGGGCTGATGGCTGGTGAGGAGCTTCTCGTCCAGCAAGGGCTGGAGGGAGATGAAGGACTCCAGGCTGGCTTGACTGAGGATCAGCCTGCGTTTCTTCACCAGGTTGACATCCAGCACCTCGCACAGATACTTCATGATGCTGTCATTCTCCATGGTGCTGCTGTCACTGAAGTGCCACCAAAGGTAAGTGCTGGCCAAGTTCTTCAGCTTGTAGTTATCCGTCTTGGGGATCTCCTCCTTAATCAGGGGCAAAATGTCCAGGAAACCATACACAACAGAGCTGAACTCTTCGTTCTTGTTCATGACTGTCAATGCTTTCAAGAGAGTGGGAAAGGAGAGTGACCAGAGACCAAAGCCACCCAGGATGGGCCTGTGGACAGTGTTGAGGTGGCACAGCAGATTCCTCAGACCGATCTCACAAACAGTATTTTTGGCTATCAAGCTGGACAAATATTTCACTGGCTGAATCAGGACTGGGAATATTTTCTCTCCATCTACCACCGTCATCTGAATGCTTTCATTTTCTAGAGAAAAGGAAGGGAAATGGAAAGAGGATTGGAGAGGGAAGAAAGGCAGAATTAGCCTCTTATTCAGTAGGAAAATAAAACATTGATTGAGTTGCTCAGCCTTTAACAGCCTTCACCATTGATAGCAGCTGGGGGACTGATCCTCCATTTCACCTATCTCCACCATTCAGTCACACCCTCAACGTCCAGCTTCTCCAACGTTCCTTCAGGAGTGTCCTTTCCATCAACACTAACACCTCCTGCAGTAGGATCATTGTGCCCACCAGGAACAGGAGGGCTTTTACAGCTTTTTGAGGGCGAATTAAGGAGAGGGGCTTGAAAAGTAAAATCCACCTCACCCAAGAAAGATTGGCCCATGGGAAGGAGAAGCAGGGGAGCCCATGTTGACAGAATGGTGCAAGGGCTGGTTAACTGGCTGAGCAATCTCAGAGAAATCTCCCCATGGCCCTATGGGCTCCATGTTCCTCCAGATGCCCTGAAACTCAAAGGCAAGGCCTCTTGGGAGCTCAGGATATTGTCCTCTCCCTTACACAGCCAATACCATCGTGGATATTCCTGAACTTCCCCCCCTAAAACCAAAAAGAGACACTGAGCTGGTTGCAACATGGGACGTCCCCACTTAGGATCTTACTCAAAATCCTCATGTCAAAGAAGACAAGGGATCCTTGTCTTGAGTCCATTGTGTTCTGGCTGCTGATGGGAAAGCTGATGCTCTCATCGAGGATGTTGCTGAGATCATCTAGCAGACTGGAGTCCTGGAAGAGCACACAATTTCCTTTAAATAAACATCACAGGAAGAACCAGGGCAGCAGCTCTGGGCACTCATGTGTCCTGAAGGCCACCAAAGCTCAGGGATCTACTCAAACTGCCTGCTAGAGAACTTAGGGTGTAATAAGCCCCGCTGGTTGGTCATGAAGACTTGCCTCCTCTGGCACCACAAAACAAAGTAACATGCATACTCCATGCATGTCCACATGGGATGGCTTGCTTGGACCCTTCCTGACTGGCTTTCTGCTCAAAAGTCACAGAAAAGTTGGGCTACCCAACATCTCCCCTCTGGCTGTGAGCCAAGGGCCTAAGCCAGCAAAGAGCAGGCAGGGAAGGGAAGCTGCCCATTTCTAAAATCTCTTCTGAAGAGCTGGTCACCAGCTTTTGGTGGTGCAGACTGTCATGGAAAATGATCGGTTCTGCAAATTAACAAAAAAACCACCATCCATCCATAGCCTCAAAGAGGAGGCGAGGTTTGGGACTGCATCTTCTTGCTGGTCTTCATTTTGGAGGCTTACCACCTTGGTGTCACCAAGATGGTATCTACCAAAGTCTCCAAGCTGCCAGGCAGATGTGTTCCCCCAGAAGTGGAGGAGAGCTAGAGGGGATTTATTTTGGCACTCAGGAAGGATTTCACAAGTTCCTTGCCAGGCTCTAAGGGGGGTTATGGGGTGGTCCTGAAGGCCTAGAAGCACCAAGTGGTCCAGTCTTCATGGCTCAAACACTGAGCAATGCAGGGCCACGCACTGAAAGCCCTTTAGCTGCACTCACCATTGACACCTCATCAGAGCTGTCCTCCTCAAAGCTATCCAACTTGAGAATATCGCTATCAGCCAAGGTAGGAAAGACGTGTCACCTTTTGGATGCAGGGCTGTCCACCCCTGCAGTGAATGCCAGGGCTGATGGCCCCCTGATTGGCATCACCAACCATGCCAAGAGGTGGCCCTGGACAGCCAGCAAGGTGGGTGGGGAGCAAGCAGGGAGCAACCCTGCGCTCAGGGTCCACCTGAAAAAGGACTGATTCCCCCTCAAGCCACAGATACAGAGTACACGCTAGGCAAGATCCTGTGGGGGAGAGAGGACCAAAATGCAGTGTCACGTAGCCTAAGAGTGTGCAAGCAGTTGAAGGAACAAAGTCTGGTTCTTGATCAGTCTCCACCAAGTATCTTGTTTTTAAACAGGGTAGTGTGCTGGGACATAACTATCCTCCTGGGAGGTCTATGGAGATGCTGCAAACCACCCTGCCTCAATACTCACATCCCAGAAAGTCTACCCATGGCTTCACTGCTCTGGACACCACTTACCTGAGTCATGCAGCCCACCGTTGCCATCTGGCATGTCTTCCAGCAGGATGTCCTCCTTGGCAAGAGTCATGGGAGACAGCAAATGGCTGGTCCCAGGCTGGTCCGAGCAGCTTGGCTGCTGAGGCACGGTCTGGTTCCATCCATCGTCATTGTCTTCAATCTTCATCACCTTTACTGGTGACCGGGACAGACACATTTTGGACTTTTTTCCTCTTTGCAGAGTTGGAGGTGGAGATCTAAACGTACAAAGAGGAGCCCAGTGAGAGAGGCCCTGCGTGGCCAGGAATGGAGATGTCCTTTGCTACTGGAGCACAGCTGAACAAGCTTGACCATACAGGTTTGTCCCTGCCCAAAGAAAGTGCTCTGCTTGCCCAGATGGTCTCTGCTGCTCTGGGGTCACCCAGCACCATGTCTTCATTTCTGGCATGAAGGCCCGGGATCTCCCAGGCTATGGCCTCTCCAACTGCTCTGGTCAAGGTCCCCTCTCTGCCTGACAGGGGTCAGGAAAACTTTCCTCTTCGCTTAACGGCTGCAAAGAAGAATACGGGGACCTCCCCTTCCCGAGCTGGGGGAAATAAATCATCTTTATCTTCTTGCTTCAGCCCTGAGGCTCCCAGGCTCCACAGGGCTTGTAGCAGGGCTAAGCCCTTCTGATCTGGGGACATGCTCTGCAGGAGGGCAGCCTGGGGGTCCCCAGCCCTGGTCCTGTGATGGCTGTTTTGTCCCAGACAAGGGCAGACAGGTCTGATGCTAGACAAGTCCTTCATGCACTATCGGACTGGAAACCAGAAGAAAGCTTGCCTTCAACATTGTTGAAGGCCATTTCTACTTGAGTGGGGCCCTGCCCTTCTTCTGGGAGATGTGTTTGAGGGCCCCAAATCCATCACAACCAGTCACAGCACCTCTCCCCCACCAGCCCTTGGTATAAGCAGGGCAGGGCGTAGTGCAGGCAGGAAATGACTTGCAACCTACCATGCCTACGAGAGCTCTTTACGGTGCATGCAGCGGCATGTCTCACGCTGAGATGTTTAAACTTTAGCCAGAAAGGTGCCTTCAAGGGACAAAGTCTGCCCCGGCTCTGCAGCTCTATGCTCAGCCAGCTTGGCTGATCTCCTCTTTCAAAAGAGAACTTTGAAAGCAGCAACCAAATGCTCGAGCTCAAACAATCTTGCAAGGGCTGGGGGTAGCCCCAGATTCCTGCCAGGTAACCCCATGAGGCAAAAATCCCAAAGCAATGCCCATTCTCACCTGGTGGGAGTCTTCCATGGCTGGAGCTGGGGTGGCTTCTGAAAGAAGAAAAACACAGCAAGCTGAGAGGAGGATGAGCAATGCTGGGGATGTCTGACAGCAGCAAGAAAAGACACTGCAGAAGGTGGCTCTGGGGCCATCTTCTTGGAGGGTCACCTCTTGGAGTTGCTACTGAGACCGAAATCCAGCAGTGAGCTTGCAGGCTGGGTGGAGAAGTGTCCATTCTCCCCAGCCCCCTGCCAGCTCATTCACCCATCCTTGCACTAAAGCCTTTCCTCCAGCTCTCCTCTCCTGCCCTCCCACCCATCCCAGACCCATAAGCCAGGAGGTCACATGTGCTGGGAAGGAAAGAAAAAAGAAAATTAGTAGTAGCATGCTGTTCCCAAGCAAGTTACTGCCATGCAATGGTGGGGCTCATTTGCAGGGGAGATGCTGCCTTCCCAAACCCAGTAAAAGAACAATGCACCATTTAATCCAGGACAATTTATTGCCATAGCAAGGTGAGATGAAGAGCCTGCTCTCTGCAGGGACCTTTAAAGGGTTTTCCAAGCAGCCGCAGTCCATGGCAAATGTTCTGGTTTGCAGACCCTCACTTCTTCCTCCGCTTCTGAAGTCTGGTGCTGGGCTTCCCACCTTTCTTGGTCTTGGTGGGATCCCTTGATTTGGGGCATTCCCCCTTGGAGGCCAGGCTGGAGGGCTCTGAGCATGCTGGGCTGGCAGGGGCAGTGGCAGGAGGAGGTCTGCTGGGGGAAGGGGCTGTGGCAGCTGCTGGGACAAGTGGTTCACGATTCTGTGGGGTGCTGGGCGGGAATAACTCCAGCACATGGGAGGGCAGTGATAGCCAGTCCACGTCTGTGGCAGGGAGGTCCCGTGGGATGGCCACAGGCTGCAGCAAGGGTCCCACAGCAGAGGCAATGGTGGCCAGGGAGCGGGACATGGCCTGGATCTCCTGGGTCACGGACACCAGGTGCCTGTTTGCCCTGCGCTGAGCTTGCAGGAGGTGATTGCCAGTCTTCAGGAGCTTGTCTGCCTGCTGCACATTGGACCTGGCCCAGACACCAAAGTCTTCCTGCAGGGAGGCCAGAGTGTCCTGGATGCTCCTGTGAAGAGGCACAGTGTCTCCATGGGCTGACTCTGAGTCTTCCTCTGCTTCTTCAACCCTCTGCCTCAGACAGGCTGGAGGTGTGGGTTGGGTGGGGGATATATTCCCTTGCTGGTCTGGACACCTGTGTCCTCTGCCACCAGAGGGGTCCGACACGGGGGCACAGGGCTGGTAGTGGGCAGGCAGTCCTGCAGGGAGACTTCCATGCGGTTGGCAATGCTCCCCGGGAGGCTCAAGGTCAAGGATCAGGGTGGTCTTCTCTTCAGACAGGAAGTCATGCTCAGGAGCGGAGGTACCTGTTGCAGGGAGGGGAGTTGAGGGGAGTAGGAGGGGAGAATCAGGGCTTGGATGGTCCACCCAGCCTGCCTCTGTGGGGTGGAGAGGGGAGATCAAGGGACACTGCCTACCATGTGATGGAGGTGGAAGGAGTGGGGTGGGAGGCAGCTTGTCCACAGGAAACCCCAAGCTCCATCCAGGACATCACCCCTGGGCTCTTCTATGGACTTTCCATAGCCCATGAGCTTGCCCTTGAGAGCTCAGTGCTGGACACCCACAGAGGTCCAAGGAGGACACTGGTCATAGCCCAGGTCTGAAGACAGCAGCAGGGGGATGGAGCAGAAGACCCCACAAAGTATCTTCCTCCCATTGCTTTTTTCCCCCCCATTTTCTGGAAGAATGCCACCACTTTCTGACCAAACCTGGATCCTCCAGCACACCATCCCTGCACACACCACAGAAGCCAAGGCTGTCACCACCCCCAAACCACCAGCATCTAAGCCACAGCTCTGCTGCCAAAGAGCTGGGGGAAGACCTGGGAAAACCCAGCAGTGGTTGTGGACCTCTTGCCACCCCTGTCGCGGAGTGCCCTCTGGGAATATTTCACCTTCCCGGTTGGATATGCCATCCCAAGGTGGTAATCAACAACCCCAAAGGGGAACTGCCCCAGATGGTTGTGGACAAAGGTTGAGCAAAGACAAGCTGGCTGGAGATCTGAGGAGCAGAAGTGGTCAGGTGATGGCAGGACATTAAGGGCTGGAGGATGATTATGACCCCCAAGGGACCTGGACATTTCACCAGCACAAACATTTCTCACAGGGGATGCAGAGTGGATCCAACCATTCCATCTGCTTCCTCCTTGCCAACAGCAGCCTCTGTGAGCCCCCTCCATGCACACCATCTCCAGGTGCCACTCGCCTCCCTTGTCCTTCAGCCCATGGCATGGCTTCATTCCAAGCAATTCACCATGTTCCCTCCCAACACGATTGCATTTGGGGGACCACAAAGGCAAGAGACGAGCATTGCTTTGGAAGAGAGGGATGCAATAACTGCATCTCATACTTGGGGGAGGTTGGAGTGTGCCCACTGCATGAGCAAAGGCTGGCGGCACAGGTCTATCAAGTCACCATGTGGAAGGAGACTTGAAACCCATGGAGAATATGGTCTAATGAGGGATTATAACCTTCCACTCTGCTTTTGGTCCCCCCTCCCCAGCCCACCTGGCCAAGTGCCTCCTCACCTGGGTGCCCCATGACACGCTCCACCAGCGCCTGCAGCCTAGCTCTGCACTCAGCAAAGTTCCCAGGCTGCGCTAGCGCTGCCACCGCCGCCAGCTGCTCCAGCGAGTTCTTGATGAAGGGCTGCATGTCCATCACCTCCCGCTCTGTGGCGTAGAGCCTCATCTTCTCCACCAGCCGCTCGCTTGCCTCCATCCGCCGCAGCACTCCCGCCACGCGCTGCAGCTCCCTTGCCAGCTCCTGCTGGCCCTGCTTCTGCTGCACTTCCACCAGCCCCAGCAGCTCCTCTTCCTCCTGCCGGATCAGCCTCACCAGCTGCTCCACGTGCTGCCGGATCAGCTCCCGCATCTCCCGCTCTGCCTCCTCCAGCCTGGTGGCTTCACCCTCCAGTGCTGCATAAGTGGCCTCAAAGCCACTTCTCTTCTGCTTCAGCTCCTGGCTCATGGTGCCCAGTTCCTCCTGCCTGCGCTGGGTCTCGCTGCGGATGTCGCAGAAGGGCGCATGCTGGCTGTCCAGCAGCATGCACAAGCAGCACAGCGCCTTCTCGCACTTCTTGCAGTAGAAGCTGCGAGGCCAAATACAAGCAGAGCGGTAACTTAGACCATGCATTTTTGCAATTCATTTGTTTATCAAATTGCAAATTCGTTCATTTGTTGAATTTAAGTTACCATCATGTTTCAGCCAGGCATTTGGTTTTATACTCTCTGAATTTCAAAACAATATGCTGGTTCACTGTCTCCACAGGGTTTCTGCTCCTCTGCTGGGCTGGCTAAAGTCACTATGGTGACTGTGCAAGTGTTATGGTAGATATTCTTCTACACACCACAAGGGCAGTGAAGAAATGAGCTTGCTGCCCTTCCATGAGTGCTTATTTGGGTTATGTATAAGAATATAAGACCAAAGAGTATCTTATCTCCATAAGATACCTAAGGCAAGAATACAAGAGGTGGGGAGTGGAGATCATCATCCATCCCTCATATGAGTCCTGGTAGCCTCAGCAAGTGGTGGGCTCAGGACATGCTGAGGCAGGGGTTGCATCTGGGCCATTGTGGCTAGCTTCAGTGCTGGCCTCTATGGATGCTCCAAGCCCTTCCCCTCTCTCTTGGACTTTTCCCTGAGAGCATTTAAACCTTGTCCTGCATTGCACCCATGCTGTTTCCCAAATCATCTCCAAGCTGATCTAGCACCATCAGCAAAACACACCCTTCTTTGCTGTCCATCACAGCAGCTGAAGCAACGGGCCTTCTTCTCGTAGAGCTCCATCAACTTCACCCTCCTTACCCTAGCAAGAAGCACCCCACATGCTCCCCTCCACCTGTCTACCCTGCCCACACTCTCCCATCATCAACTTGAACCTGGCTTCATCCAAACCCATCCCTCCATGCCTAGAGCTCACCAGTCACTACTTCCCACCCATCTTCTCCATGACATGGTGGCAATCAGGACAGCAGAGGGACAGGGACACCCTGCTCAGTCCCATCATGGACTATCACAAAAAGATTTGTGACAAAAACCCACCCAGATGGGGACAGACCTCCTTAGACGTACCTTACAGTTTGGCTCTCATGTGCCGGGTTGAAGCAGGACAAGTTACCAGTCTTCCTGATGCTCTCAAGGAAGTCTTTAGCAGACCCTGCCCTGATGTCCGTCACCCTCTTAGTTTCATGGCTCTCCCTCTTCAGGTAGCGCTGGTGGGCCTCGAAGCACTTGGTGCAGAGGAACTCCTTGCATTCAGAGCACCAGAACTCACCTGCTTTCTTGCAATTGTCGCAGACCAAGTCAACTCCGTCGACAATCTTCTTGTAGACCTTGAGTGTGGCCTGTAGGCTGGTGAAGAGCAGGTTGTCTATGTCGGTGATGCCACCGGACTGCCAGATGGCCATCCGGCACAGGGGGCACTGGCCAATGGACCTGTTAATGTTCAGGCAACTGAGGCACAAGGTGTGGAGACAGGTGAGGAGCTTGAGGTCGGGAGGTTCCTGCTGGCAGCCCTCACAAAGGATGAACTGGAAGTCATCTTCTAGGAGCTTGGGCAGGGAGGGAGAGAGGAAGAGGAATGAGCACTAGGGTGTGTTTTTAAGAGCTTCTGAAACCACATCTTGGGGGAAGGTGACCTGCAAACCCTACTTGGAGCAACCAGTGAGCAACCACTTCCCACCAGTGATGCCCAGGCCCTGTAAGCAGTCTGGAGATGGCCGCACTGCGGTATGGTTGGATGGACAGGGCCCTGCTGAATGGTTCCTCTCTCTCTAGCAAAGAGGAAACAGGATGGTCCCCCTGGCTATGGGGCTGGGGGGGCTGCAGAGGGGCAGCGTGGAGGACAAGGAACAGAGGGAGCATCCAAGAACGCCTGGGTGACACCCTGGCAGGGTGAGGATGACCCTCCCAGCCATTCCCTTCCCCACCTCCCTCGCTCAGCCCATCCCTCTGGCCTCCTGCCTCCCTTCTTCCCGTACCGGTGCCTTCCTTCACTGGGCTGGCTGGGGTCCAGCCCTACCCTCCCTGCCACCCACCA